GGGGTGGGTGGGGGCTTAAGTCTTGTTAATCTAAGAAACATGCAGATACGCACATACTATGTAGAATAAGGAATTTTACAAAGGAAATACAATACCCTGGGCTGCAATATACATCTAATTATTTGACTACATATGCAGACTCATTGATAACATCTTTAAAAATAAACTTGTTAAACTTACTAACCATGAAGTTTCGCAAAATAAAAGACGTTGTTTTTAAATATCGAGAGTGCAAAAGAAATATGGGGAGAGACAAATTGCATGAATATATACTTCTTTCTAAATAACGAAACGAAGAATCGCACACAGTACAGAGCAGAGTTAGCAACCCAGCCCTGCACTGGATAGGGGATTTGGAAACAATGGAGCGACTTAAAGTCAACAGTTGGCAAAGCCTAATTCATGTTTGCTTGCATGATGCCTGGTTAACGGGAGAAAACGCCTTCATATGATCAGGACAATACCACTTTGACATTTTTGTGGACAGCATACAGGCTCAAAGAATCACACAATACGGAGATAAACGGCACCTCAACAAACATATATAGAATAACAAATGCAATAAGGGGGAGGGTGGATAGAAGCAAAACATTTATCAAACAGAAATGAAATCAGTGATAAGAAAATATACAATGACTTATAGTTCACATCATGAAAACCAAGATCCAATAACATGAGGCAGAGGAGTCAAAATATAAAAATGAAAATATTAATATAGATGTCCTCTGCCTGTTACAAAATGAGTGAGGGAGAAAACTGGCTTGATATATCACTCTGCGGAGTAGTTCTCAGCGAAGGAGGCCGACCCAGATTTTCTTTTCATTTACAGTAAAATCTGTCTTGAGAGACCACTGCTATGAGAGACTACTTGTCTTGAGAGACCATGTACAGATTTATTGATTACGCAGTGTTATGACTTGTAATAGGGAGCACCTGTCTTGTGAGACCATTATATTTTAGCAGAACCTTGTGGTCTTTGAAGACACGTTCCACTTAACTCACTGCAGACTATGAAGGATATACACCAATAAAAAAAAATCCTTTAAATTTTCTGACTAAGAGGGTCACTTCAGAGTTCTCCCTCTTAATCATAGGAGGAGAGGAGAGAGAGGTCCACACCAATAAACGTGAATTGATAAATTTAGGTACTTTCATCAATATAGGGAAAATAAAATGTAATGCTTTCGATGGAGCATTTAAGTCAAAGGTTACAGACTTTGCTGAGAAAAACAGCTATAGTGTTGCATTAAGTTAATTTGATGTCACATAAATGACAGGCGCAAGAACAAGTTAGTTCTAGTTGATAGTGACAGACCTCTGAAGAAAATACGAATATTGTAAAGACCTTATGCGTTTGGTTTGAACGAACGAGTTGTAGAGCAGCGTTAAAATGAGCATGCAGTCATCAGAAACGCCATTAGACTAAAGACCGTTTTAACTTATTAATACAAATCTATTTATTCTACAACCGTTTTGTTTTTCTTTGTCATATGTGTTTGTCTATCAATCCATTCAATTTGTTTTGTTTATTTGTCCCCAAAGGCAACTCTGACTCTCTGACCGTTTGTAACCCCTGGCAAAAGGATATGACTTGCTAAAAAACACATTGACTAATAAGTTGGTCATAGAGAAATTCTCATTTTTCAGCCCTGAAATGGAGGAGTGGGGGCTTAATTTATAAACACATATATACAATAATTGGTGAAATAACTTGGCCTTGCTTGTCCATTAGGTATTTATTCTGATGCTTAGTGTCATCATCTCCCTACAAAATTGCGATACACAACAAATGAGTACTAGTAATTGTTATTTTGAGCTAGCTTAAATAAACGCTCCTCCATCTTGCTGGTCTAGTAAATATTTAACATGATTTTCAATATTCTCATATTCCTACACGGGCTGCAAAAGAACAACAAATGTGCGTGGTCCATAGTTTTCTATTTAATCAGTGCTCCTATATACTTATAATAATGAGTCAAGTTATGTTAAACAAAATTCTTCAAAAGTCTAAGAGAAGTTTTAAACAAGAAACTTATTAATGGCCAGTAACCATGGTGATGGGTCTGATACTTGCAAGGCCACCAGAGTTAGATGTGCTGGTATGTCCTTGGGGTGAGGATACTGGGAGGCATATAGCCAACATGTTAAAAGTACTATTAAAATCAATGGCCACTTAATATAGTGCATATAGCACTAATTTAAATAATGGCAGTACACTGAGGATGAAATAACTAGGTAACTGTCAGTACAATATGGATGTCAACACTGACGTGATGTAAAGAATGAGCACAGTTCTAAAACGGGGGGGGGGAGGAGGAGCAAAACTCCATAAAATTATTTCATAAAATGGTGGAAATCAAACTCAATACAGATCATCCCAATGTAATACTTCAAATACAATTTTGTTTCAATCCATCTAGTCCTTCTGAAGTTACAGGCAAGTAAATTCATGACATGGCGTGATAGATGGACATGAATATAAATATCTGTCCCCTCTGTCTGTGAGGCATCAAAACTCCTCATTCTCAACCTCATTATATGGTATCAGTATTTCACCTATCATAGATTCCAACCTCCCTAAGGTAACAAGTGCTATTAGCACTTTCTGATCACATCAGATTCATTATTTGATTTTTTATTTGGAGGGTCTGAACTTTAAAATAGTTGTAAGCATGCCCCATACAGCATAAATGATACTGTTATACCTGCCATCTGGCCTTCATACATTTTCCAATGATACCATTCAATGAAATCACAGCCGATTTTAACATATTTGTTTCAAGCATTGAAGAGCTTAGAGATTTTTTGACTGAGTCTGATTTGATCATTCAAAAAAGAATCAATAAGGACTTACTTTGTTCTGGTTGAAAAGAATATGTTTATTTCTTCTGTTTTATAAACTTTTAGAACCCTTGTGAAACTTTAATATACCATTACTACTGCATATATTGGAGTATGTAATACAGAAAATTATTGTTGGCAATGCTCCATATTTTTGTTTTATTCCTTTCACATGTTATTTTTATGTGAAAATGCAGGAATTTGCATCGAGATATTAAGTTATACTTACAGCTAGAAATACAAGCATTTTTGTGAGCATTCAAGGCAGAAACAGTATTAATGAGTATATCCGACTTTCAACTTCCCGATGAAGTAGTGTCTCAAAAATCAGAAATGCTGCTTTGCTAAATCATCAAATAAGTTCACATTTATTAAAATGTAATTTATGGAACACCGATCATACTGTGTTTTAGTGCGATAAGTTGTTATGGCAGTATATAGATACTACTGAAATGGGAATCATTTTCATTTGTTTAAATAAAATCTGCAATTACTTTTTGTCTCTCTTGTATGGATTGCCTAATGTGATACACTGCTTGAGAAAACACAATGTTATGATAAAATTCAAGTAACTGTACTTAAATTTTGTTAAATTTTTGAGAATTTCAATAATCTTTTCAAGAATAGTCTTTAACCACAAAAAAATCTTCAGTCCAAATATGGTTCTGCACCTGAAGGATAATGATCAAGTGTTCACCTCAGCTGAATGAGAGATCACCTCAAAATACAAATACCCAGATGTGTAAACTGTCCAGTAAGCTTGTGAAGAGGGTGTTGGGTGGTGGTGTGGAGCTCAAGAGTGAGTTTAATCTTGTAAGTTTTGACTCGGATTTGGCATACAATGCAGTAAAATATAAGTTTTGTTTCTTTTACATGCATAAATACCAGACAGATTTTGTTTGTGCACACAATCAATTTTTTTTTCATGCCAATTGTTTTACTACTCTTCAAAACATCCCATTTTTGGCACCACACAATGAAATATATCTGGTATTAAAAAGGAAAGAAAAATATGTTCGAGTCCACATATTCACAAGACACCTTTAAGCAGTACAATATATATATCATGACTTTGAACCTTGTATCATGGAGTGAAGGTCGAGCTATGCCCACATAGAAAGTTAGGTTAAGTTCTATAATTAATCTATAACCTCAATTAATGAACAGGCAAAAGTTAAGGTATTCTTCAGATATATCCCAAACTAGGTTTGAATAACAAAATTTGTATTCCAAATTGTTTTGTGTCTTCATCAGCACAAGCAGGAATACCTACAAATATGACTGATGAATTTTGACCTTAAGGTCAATGACTGAGTGCAGAATATCAATTTGTTTTGGAATGCAACTAAATACAAACTTAAGTCACAACCATCAATGGATATTTTCAAAGAAATTTATATGTGGAAGCAATCTTGCTTTTGCCTGACCCTCTTTTAATTAACTTAGAGAGAGAGAGAGAGAGAGAGAGAGAGAGAGAGAGAGAGAGAGAGAGAGAGAGAGAGAGAGAGAGAGAGAGAGAGAGAGAGAGAGAGAGAGAGAGAGAGAGAGAGAGAGAGAGAGAGAGAGAGAGAGAGAGAGAGAGAGAGAGAGAGAGAGAGAGAGAGAGAGAGAGAGAGAGAGAGAGAGAGAGAGAGAGACAGAGAGAGAGAGAGAGAGAGAGAGAGAGAGAGAGAGAGAGAGAGAGAGAGAGAGAGAGAGAGAGAGAGAGAGAGAGAGAGAGAGAGAGAGAGAGAGAGAGAGAGAGAGAGAGAGAGAGAGAGACAGAGAGAGAGAGAGAGAGAGAGAGAGAGAGAGAGAGAGAGAGAGAGAGAGAGAGAGAGAGAGAGAGAGAGAGAGAGAGAGAGAGAGAGAGAGAGAGAGAGAGAGAGAGAGAGAGAGAGAGAGAGAGAGAGAGAGAGAGTGTGTGTGTGTGTGTGTGTGTGTGATTTGGATATTTTATGTACCCTTAAAAAATTTTCAGTCATATTACTATGATGTCTGCAGTGCAACAATTTTTAGTGATGTCTAGAACAGGGGCATCATGCCGCAAGCATGTAGCATGATGTCCCACCCAGTCACATTATTATCCTGACACCAGGCCAACCAGTCCTACTACTAACCTCTTAATGCTGAGTGCCAAGCGAGGCAGCTGTTAGTATCATTTTTGTAACTCTTCGGTATGACTTGGCCAGGGTTTGAACCTACAAACTCCTGCATCCAAGGCTGATGCTCTAACCACTTTGGCCACCGAAGCAGTCCCAGAGAGAGAGAGAGAGAGAGAGAGAGAGAGAGAGAGAGAGAGAAAGAGAGAGACCTGGATCAAAACAAATGAACACCTATATAAAATATATTTTATTGTAGTTTTCTATCAGCTGACACAAAAACCACCACAGATGTTTGACTAAAAAAGGGGAAAAAAATTTAAACATAATAAGGTGCTCCCTGAAAAATGGAGAAATCATAAAGACAAGCATTGAAAGTAATATGACAAATGAACTTAGAGCTTAGAATGATAAGAAATGCATCATCTATGCTTGAAGCACCTTATTTAAATGTGAGTATATCACAAAATTGGTTTTCCTCATCACAGTTTAAATGTCAAGCCCCTTTTGGTGCTTTCATAAAAAGGGAATGATGTCAGACGAAAAGTACGAAAATTATGATCAAGCATCAAAGAGGCGAGTTGTGCATGTATGCTACATGACGTTTCATATATATCCATTAATACGTACATATTATTTCAAAGAAAATTGGACGGACTTATGATAAGGCTGAGACTGGTATTCACATCTATTATATATACATACAATGTATAACAAATGGTAATATAAATATTAGAATATAATTGATTAATTAATTACCAATTGACCTTTCGCCATGATTTATGTTCTTTTACTTGCCATGATTTAACAATATTGATGTTTCAGTGCCATGATTTTTATTGCATACCAATTTATACATTGATATAATAGATAACATTACCAATCTGCAATGATCTTTCCTCCCAATCTTCAACAGAAAATAAATTCACATTATCGTAAAATGTGTCTGATGGGAGTTTTGCTATTCATCTCGTTCCATGCCATGACTAGAAATGGTAAGATGCAATGAAGGAAGGATGATGAAAAAGAAAAATATGAAGCACTGAGCAATTAAGTTTCAATCAAAAGTCATTTTTCTGCTTAGCAGTCTATTTTCTAACTGTCCTGAAGCATACTTCGCTTATTTCAACGCCAAATTGCTGGTTTTCACGTCCAATATCATCTAGTAGCATGTCCAGAATTGGCAAGGTGCTTGGTCGAGTGGTTTCTATTATGAAATCTGTTGCGCCCCACTGGTTGGTGTATTCCTGACAAGGAAATAAAAATATGTCACTGCTGTATAACAAAATAAGGTGAGATATATAATTGTAGGAAACATGGAGTTTATAAATGTCCCAAAAATTAAAAAATTTTTAAAAAATATTGTATGTAACTGTAGTTGGAAAACTGCTAAAATTAATTGAAAACTTAATCGTGTTATCACATACATATATAAACACAAATACAAAATTTGATTTATCTGCCTCAGGTGGTTTTGATTGATAGCAATATGTTGTTGGGTAACCAACCTCCTCCCATTTTTATTTGACAAATGGAAGGCTGTCAGGACATATCAACATATCAATACCCATGTTACTATCTACTACTGCAGGATATACAAAATATTTACCTCACATCCTCCTTGCTTCTCTACTTTAGTGATGTGTGTCCTATGCCGTTTGAAGTTTGCATCAAGGAGATCCTCACTCATGTCATGTGTCAGCATTCGGATGTACTTAGAGTGGCTGTTGAGACAGCGGAATGTGATGGTCTGGCGAGCATGAGTACTCAACCTCTGGAGTGCTCGAAGCTGAGGATCCTCAATCCTGTAATCAAACTAAAGAAGCCCAAGAAATTAATTTGATGAACTGGATGTGTTGATTCAACCAAGATATCCAGCACAGATTGGTAAATATTCATTAAAGTAAATATTAATGAAAAAGTAATAAATAAGAAAATCTGAGAATACTGGACTTGATTCCCTGTTCATTGCATACTCACTAAACATCCATCTACAGTGTGATAATTACAGTTCTTCAATCTTATGCTCAGACTAAAGCAAAAAAATTTAGTGATATTATTAATATTCAGCCATTATGATGTGACTAATCAAGATTTAAGTGCTACAAGTACTCATCATACCAAGTACTCTGCTATGAGAATAAATACTCATTCTATGCTGTGCTAATGACACTATGAGTATCCGCACTTGGCCTTTAAGTGCATGTATTCATCCATAAGCACATGGCTACAAAAATGTTCATTCTATTAAGTGCTAATGATGCTATGAGTATCAGCACTCAGCCTTTAGCGTTACAAATACTCATCATACCAAGTACTCAGCTACAAGAATGAATACTCATTCTATGCTGTGCTAATGATACCATGAGTATGAGTACTCAGTCTAGTAAGTGCTAAATGAGTATGAGCTAAAAGTGCTAAAATTATGCTATGAGTATCCGTACTCAGCTGTTAAGTGCTACAAATATTCATCATAAGCACATGGCTACAAAAATGCTCATTCTATTAAGTGCTAATGATGCTATGAGTATCAGCACTCAGCCTTTAAGTGCTACAAGTACTCATCCTACCATGATTACTCATTCTATGCTGTGGTAATGATACCATGAGTATGAGTACTCAGTCTAGTAAGTGCTAAATAGATGCAATGAGTATGAATGCTCAGTTCACTAAGTACTAAAATGATGCAATGAGTATCAGCACTCAGCTTATCAAGGCAATATACAGGTAAGAAGGTACCTTTTGGCTTCAAGACTACATAAAGGTAACCATGCATAGAATATAGACAGCTGAAGCAGTATATTGAAACTGTCATCTGAAGCACACGATGGAAGATTCTGAATGTTATCATCAAAGGAAAAACATTAATCTGAATGTATCTGAGTTCCTGTTGAGGCAAAAAATATGATGACATTTTATATTTGTGTTATCAACCTATTCAATGCTAAACTCTTGCGACTCATAATTTTGTACACAAATCAAGAAATATTATTTCTGCAAACCTGTAAAAAAAACCTAAAAATAAGTTTAGTGGGTGATTTTGAGAATTATCGCAAGAAATTTAATTTAAAAAATTGTATATATGACAAGTCATCGCATGTATAAAACTGAGAAACTGTAATGAATATTGGGTAAGAATATTTTTGAAATGATCCATTTAAAATGCAATAAAAACTAAAGTCTTCCCATTTGCCTTAGCCTTCTTACTGGAAATAAAACAAAAATATTTAGCAATTGTACCTCATTTCCGCTGAAAATATCCTCCATAAACCACTTGGAGCGACCTGATTCCTTTGTCCATCTCTGAGTGTCAAACTGAAAATATATAAGGAGTTTGTATAATATTAACTAGAACTGCGAATACCTTATAGCGATGGAACACTATCACTTTAGGAATTTTAATGGCATTTTAAATCAGAATTGTCATTTAAAAGCGAACAAATAATCTTGGGGTACTGACTGTAGTGTAATTTATCAAGTTTATTGTAAATTCCCTATTAATTTGGGGTCCTAATTGTAGCTGAATTCATGAAATAAATCGGAGTTTCCCATTATTTTTGGATATTAATTGTAGTGAAATTCAAATTCCACATTTTCCTGCATCTTGATTAAAGTGAAATTTGTGAAGTTCTCTGCAAATTACCTATTTATCTTTGAACTGAATTGTAGTCAAATCAGTTAAGTTGCTTTAAATTCCCTTTTAAACTTGGCTCTTAACTGCATTGGAATTCATTAAGTTTACTGTAAATTCCCTACTAAACTTGGGTCCTAATTGTAGCAGAATTCATTAAGTTTACTGTAAATTCCCTACTAAACTTGGGTCCTAATTGTAGGGGAATTCAATAAGTAAATTAATTATTAAACTTTGGTTCTAACTGTAATGTAATCCGTGAGGTTTGCTGGAAATTCCTATTATTCCTTGGGTACTAACTATAGTGGAATTCATTAAATTTGCTGTATATTCCCTATTAAGCTTGGTTCTTAATTGTAGTGGAATTTGTGGAGTTTCCTGTAAACTCCTTCTAATCCTGTGGTTCAAATTGTTGGACCAACACAATAATTAATGAAAGTTTTGTAATTTCCCAATTAATCATGGGGAATTAATTGCTGTGAAATTTGTCAAGTTTGTTATAAATTCTGTCTTATTCTTACATAATTTATTGTTGTGGAGTTTGTGATGTTCACAGCAAATTCCCTATTATTCTTGGGGTATTAATTCTCTATAACTATTTATATTCATGAAATTTACTGTGAATTCCCTATTATTATTGGGGTATTATTATAGTGGAATTTTGCTGCAAATCCCCTTTAAGCTTAAGATCCTAACTGTAGTAAAATTCACAAAAATATACTCTGAATTACCTATTATTCTTAGAGTATTAATGATTGTGGAATTTGTGAAATTCACTGTGAATTCCCTATTAATCTTGGGGTATTGAATGTAGTGAAATTCATCGTGGCTACAAAACCAGAAGTTCAAAGACTTGATGAAAAATGTAACTCTTTCTGCAGAAGAATATTTACAATTAAAGGTACTAAGAAAAAAAATCAACATTTTGTGAAAGAAAGAAATAATTTTTATTGCAATTTAAGACCTGAGACATCTGACTGGTAAGTCAATATTTTATCCAATCAGATTGCTGGATTGATTATTTAAGCTATAATTCAGACTAAAGTTTTGTTTTTGAAATCCAGGCCTTGATTGTACAAACATAATTCAATTTTTTCATTTTATTTTAAAGCTGTTTGTTGTGTTAGGTACATACTTTGCTCCTCATGGCTGGGATACAGGTCTCTGCTTCATTGGCATCTTCCGATGGGAATTTACACGTCACTTCTACTGCATCCGCAACATGTTTTCCACTAGGCTCAATCCAGTAGCGACCTGTAGATACAATTTAAGACTTTTTCTTATTTCAGCACCACTAAAAATAGCTAGGAGTAACTCAATTGATGCAACAACGTTTGCATATCTTCCCTTTTAACAAGAAATGGGGTATGTTAAATTTTGTTCTTTAATAATACAGTAAGCACAATGAGAGACAATAGAGTTAACATGTAGATATGCTTGGATACAGGTTGTAGAAAAGAAGAAAAAACTCACATCTCTTCTCCAGTCAAGTGACAGCATCATTGTGAAATTCCTCAATGACCAA